GCCAGCGGGCTCCCCCGGGCCAGGGCCCCGCCGCGGGGCATGGAGCTGCCGCTGGGCGCTCCTGTTGGCATGAATGTGTGTCTCCTCACAGCCAGCGACGTGTCTCCTGTGGCTGTGCTGGGCTGCAGATGGAAGAATGTGCTCTTTCAGCAGTCCAGCTGCCTGCAACCAGAGATGTCAGGAGGGCCTTCAGCCTGCTGGCCCAGTCTTAATAGTGGCGTGCGTGTGCGTGCGTGTGCACGTGTCGCTCATTGACTGAGGGGTCAGAGCTAACGGGTTCTCAGGCACTGGATGTGTCAAGTTTGTGTTTGTGTTGTCTAAGTGGCATCGAACCCTGAACCTTCTGGTGAGGTCTGACTAGTGTAGTGGTCACAGCCCCTGGACGTACTAAGAAAAGGTGTTGAGGTTTAGTCTTCTCACAGCAGGTGAATCTTAGTTTAGATGGCTAAAAATAGACTTGTCAAGTTTGATCTTTTTTTTTTTTTCTTTTTTTAAATTTCGTGTGTTTTGGTTTTTCCACTCGTTTGTCACTGGCACAGACCAAAACATTTGTTTCACTGAGGACAGATGACCTGTGGCTCAGAGTCGGCTGACACTGACAGGTCTTCTCTCATTTTATTTAATTAGGAAAACAATCATTTACATTCACTAACCCTGAAACTGGTTCAGCCAGGCCTCTGTAGAAAAGGTTTTGCATTTTTAATATGTAACACAATGTTAAATAAACAACAAAAACCTTTCCTTTTTTAAAAGGTTTTTCAAGAATTACAGAAACACATAAGACAGGTTCAGAAAATGATTTTTTTTTTTAAGTGATATTTGCTCAGCTTCTGTTTGTCACCAGGTGTCTCAAATGGTTTCATTTTGCATTCTGGTTAACGTACTTAATGCTACTGTTCTGCTTTGTATTGGATTTGTCAGTAAAAGAGGAAGCAGAGATCAGGCGGCGGTAAACGTCTTGTTGTATCCATGTAAATTCTCTTGGCGTCTTTTCCCACACAGCGTATTTCCATAGTCAAATGAACCATTTTACTAATGTCAGTGACTCACAGTCGCACCGTCACTGTGTGATGTTTGTTTCACAGCCTGAGGTTGGACTCAGTCACTCATTTGCCCCTTAATGTAAATCATAATTACGTTCACGCTCACTATCTCAGCAGCAGCACATGTAATTGACCCTGCGTTCCTCTTTTTTTTTATAACATGTAGATTAGCAAACCTGACACAGAAAGGCTGTTATCAGACCCTGTTATTCCACAGCATGTGCAATATAAATCCCACCACCAGGACAGTGACCAGTTATAGATCCAAACTCCAACCATAATCCCTGCTCACGTCAGGCCGTCAGAGCCAGCGTGATGAAAGCGTTTCATCCCGTGGTTCTTGACGTTACTTCACACTAACGTTACTTTACGCTAACGTTACTTTACGCTCCTGCAGATGGTATTAAATCAGATGACGCTCTGCTTAAACTGCCAAATTCAGCAACAAGCAGTTTGTGGCCAATGAATGATTGGATCTGTGCTGGAGAACAGCTGCCGTCGTTTTGATGTGAAACCACGGGACTCACAGAAGGATTTATGGAGCGTTTCACATTCACACACCAACTCCTCTCGGTCCTGGGTGACTGTTTAGCTCCTAACGCAGCTGAAATGCTGGTCCATGATGTGTCTTTATGTTTCTGCGGGTGAAGCTGGCACAGTCTTAGCTCGTATCTGGGCTCCCACAGTCTCTGCAGGGCATTGTTCCCAGGATCTCTGGTCCTCGGAGAATTAATGTATGCACCAGAAATGGAAATGAAATCTCTTTGAAGACAGGACCCTCACCCCCCCCACGCCCCCCCCCGTCCCCTCGCAGCTTCTTTCGGTGCTAAACTGATTCCAGTATTGTGTGTGTGCGGTGTGTAGCGGTGCAGCCTTTGTACGAAGAACCTGGTGATTATGCAGCTCCACAGGCGGAGGACAGAAAATGTCACAAATGAACTCGAGGAAGAAAAATGTCCGACATGTCACACATTAAACCACTTCACCAGCACCAGACATCACCGCCAAGTGCCGAGGTGTTTGTGGGCAGTCACTTCAAGTGAAATTCAGAACGCTAACAAAAACACTCTGAGTTAGCAGCATGAGGTGACGCACACAGACACGGCACAAATTCACCACAAAGCCAGAACAGACTGGTCGGGAACCTTTATTTTTAGAACACGCGCAACACACTTTGGCAACTGGATCCCAGAGAGTTATGTTTGCTCTACCTTTGACAGGACACACGGCCCTGCCCTGCCGGGGAAAACACCACGGTCGGCCCTCTGTAGGTGTTCACTCCACTGGTGCTCAGCCTGTAATCCACGGTAAACCATGTGACTGAGTGTCAGCTGTGACTAACACGTCAGATCAGCTGCTTTCAAAATCATTCACTTTTGTATTAAATAAAACAGACGTTTGATGAAGTCATAAAGAGAAAAGATTTCTGTGGTTAAAATCTCTTTTCTAACTTTTTGACGTACGGGTCAGAGGTCAGCTGGAGGTCATCTTTTTTTTCCCCTCATCCTGGCTCTTCAGTCGTTTTCATTATTGACGTGTTCAGTCACCGTTAGTTAAGACAGAATTGACAGCCTGCAGATTTTCCCACCAATCAAACCTGGAGAGAACATAAAGAGTCAGTGTAATGAGAGACAGGCTGCAGGACACACTCGTCCCGTACGTGTGGACGCAGAGTCACCGCCGTAACTGGTCGGCGTTCTCTTCTTTCTGTTGTTGGCGATGCATCACTTAAACCCTGACCCAAAATTAGAAGTGCACCAGCAGCACGTTGAAGAACGCCTCGTGTTCAGACACGGTTGGTTCATGGTTACGTCATCTTGGTTTTCTGTTGTTGTTGTTTATTAGTTTGAAGCATCAGGTTCAGTGAGTGAAGATGATGATGGAGTGAAATATGAACGTTCCAGTGTAACTGGTTAGTTACAGCAGGAAGCTCTGCTTGTACTGGACGCTCCCTTGTTTGGACAGCTGAAGGTTATTGTCAGTGGAAATATAAACAAACAGGTGAAGAGACGGCTGTAGTCAGTGGAAATATAAACAAACAGGTGAAGAGACGGCTGTAGTCAATGGAAATATAAACACAGTCAAACAGGTGGAATAACTAATCAAAGAAACCGTTCACACTTTCATTTGACCTCAACTTTATCACAGTGAAGTTCAGAGAAGTTTTTGACATCTCTATTATCTACACTATCTGTTTCCTAAAGGGTTTGGTTAAAGAACAAGATAATAATAATAATAAATGTTACACGTTTGGTGAAATTACAATAATGAATTGAATAATATACAGTATATTTTAAATAAACACTGAGGCTGAAACGTTTTATAGACATCAATGCAGACTTAATACATTTGTCCGAATTTTAAATTTAAATTTTAAATTTGGACAAATGCTGGATTTAAATATTTAACGTTCAGTTTCTGATTTGGTGCAGACGGTTCTCCTCAGAAACATGTTTTTCCTTCTTTTTGTATCCTCCTTCTTTTCCGTCTTGCTGAAGGATGGCTACACTCCTCCTGCTTATTTTCAGTTACTTAGCAACCAGAAGGAGATGCATTTTTGGGCTGGAACTCTGTGATGGAAGAGGGGGTGGGGTTAGGTGAGCGTTGTTCAGGAAAAAAAATAAAGTGAAGGCTGTTCTGGAGAAGAGACCGTCTTTAAGGTGAAGACAATAATTGGACATGGACGTTGTTTAATTGTGTGTAAAGACGCTGCAGGTAGTGTATTGATGGAGTGACTGTCTGTCTGTCATTAAACCTGTAAATGTAAATGCCTCAAAATGTCTGATAGGCTGGAGCAGACAGGTCAAATCAAAGGTCATATCAAAGGTCATACGTACCAGATAATGTGTACCTGAAGTAAACCCACACCACTGAGGAGTCACAAAGAGTCGTTGACCCTTCAGTACCACTGTTGACCTCTAGGGAGATTATCAGGATTGTTAGGGCAGGTTCAACTGCCCTAACAATCAGTTCATCTAAACTGGAGTTTGTTTGAGTGACAGATGGTGTCCAGTAATATTTTAGATTCTTCTAGACTCAACATTGTTGTTTCTTGTCCTTGAGGATGTTTTTGGGAGTGTGGCAGATGTTGGGGAGACTTTTCATCTGAAAGTAGAAGCAGGTGGAGCAGGCGGAGCAGGTGGACGGCTTGATTTGAGATACAAAAGGACGTGGGCCTCCACCCGTCCACGCTCCCCTATTCAGCAGCTCAGCTAATACCCATGCTAGGACGCAGGCGTCCGGCTGTTGTACACACACACACACACACACACACACACACTGGCACCAGGCCCAGTGTGTGTGTGTGTTCTATGGAACTTGATTTAAAGGAGACCCAGCCCAGCGATGGTGATGCACCGAGCTGAAACAGTGGCTCCTGGTTGGATTAAAATGTCGTGGTTGTTGGACCTGGTTCTTTTCTGCATATATTCTCGTCTTCGTAATTTTGGGTTTGTCTCCAAATTACTGACACCTCACCTTGGTTTTATCCAACCACAGGCTGGCATCAGTCTACTCTCAGGAATTAAATACTTTTTAAAAAAAATAAAACCTTATAAATAACCTTGAATATATCTTCTATATCCTGAAGGGGGAGCTAGACTCAACTGATTTCTAGTTGTAAATGTCAAATTGTATTTTTTCTTTTATATGTCCTTTAGTAAAACGTGTGAACCAACGCACGCCTTCATTTAATCAAGTTCAACGATGTCCAAGTCACGGCTTCATTTCCTCTGCGTTGATTTCAACTGGTGGAAATTTTATTAAAGGTGTAGTTTCAGATTGTCTAAGGTCTTCTGTGATTCACCGGTGGTCATAATTTAACACCCCCCCCACCCCCCACCCCCCCACGTACTGCGTGTCTGTGCAGACCAACCATTTTGATTGGCCGTGTTTTTTCTATTTTCCTCCAATGCCTGTCTCAGCTCCAGCTGCCTCTCCTCCCCCTCTCTATCTGCCCCCCCTCTATCTGCCCCCTCTCTCATTCTTTGCCTCCAGCTCTCGATTTTTCCCTATTTTTTCACATTTGCTTTTACCCCCCCTCCTCACTGAACCTCCTCAACTACATCAACACCCACCCCTCACCCCTCACCCACCCCTCACCCACCCCTCACCCACCCCTCACCCACCCCTCACCCACCCCTCACCCACCCCTCACCCACCCCTCACCCACCCCTCACCCACCCCTCACCCACCCCTCACCCACCCCTCACCCACCCCTCACCCACCCCTCACCCACCCCCCGACCTGATGTCACTCTGTTTGCGTTGCTTTTGTCTCACGGTGGAGAAGCAGAAGCAGCGATTGTATTTATTTATATTTTACTTCCCTGTTGTCCTGCTCTCTCTGTTTCTCTCTCTCTCTCTCTCCCCGCCCCCCCGTCCCTCCCTCCCTCCCTCTCTGTGTTCTCCCATCTCTTTACATGAGTAAATCCTACAGTGAAGTGAGGGAGTGATGGAGAGGAGAGGGTGAGCAGGACAGTATGTACTACAGACATGTCAGGCTTCATTCTCCTCCTTTTTGACCACGGTTTCCCACAACCGTAAAGGACCCACGGCCGTGTGTCGCTGTGAGCCTCTGCTGTAAGGCTTTCGGCGTCTTTGAGGTTGTCTCCGCGGCGAGCCGAGTGCAAGCGCATGTAAAGGAAAGGAGGGATTTTAAAAAAGCAGGAACGGATAGTGGAGCGAGGGCATCTGGACGTCTGGGAGGCAGTGACGGCTGGTTGGCTGCATTGTGTTGCTTTGATGACCCCCGCTGTGTAGCTGCCTGCTCATCAACCCCTCTCTCTCTCTCTCTCTCTCTCTCTTTTTCACTCCATCACCCTCCCCTTTCTCTCTCCTCTCTTTCCTCCACCATCTCCTCCCCCTTCTCCTTCTCCTCCGCCTCCTCCTCCTCCTCCTCCTCCTCCTCCTCCTCCTCTCTGTCCATCACAGCTCCCGGCCCAGCCATGTTCGGCACAGAGTCCTCATGTAAGTACCAACACCATCCTCCCGCCTTCTGTGTTTGTTTGTGTTCTGTGTCCTTTGATGTTCCGTCTAATGGACGAGGAGGAACAAAGGAAATGGCCGTCTCTCCTCCGGTCCTGTGTCCCTCCTTGTTTCTCCCCGACACTTTGCTGTTTTTTTTTTTTCCCCCTCCGTGGTTGTGCTGGTGGCAGATTGCACAGTGAAGAAACTGGGACCTACCATTTTTAGCCCCGAGGGTCAGCAGCTAGGAGCTAGCTGGTGCTGCTGAGATTTCCACCTGTGCGTTCTCTCCCTCTCTCTCTCTCTCTCTCTCTCTGTCTCTCTGTCTTAGCGTGTGCATGTGTGAGCGTTGTTGATGTGCTCTCACTCCGTCCCAGCTCCGATCCAAAGCTGTTAATCCTAACGCATGTTTGGCACGTGTGAAGATGGACGTGTCAGAAGATGGCAGCGTTCAGCAGAGTTGCTGTTGTTTCCAGACTCAGCAGCGTCTCCTCCTCCGTCCCGTTAGCCACGAGACCAGTTATTGGACCATCTTAGCAGCTTTACGTCCCAGGCTGCTGTCTGTGCTAAAGTAGCCCACTGCTGCTGGTGTGTGTGTGTGTGTGTGTGTGTTCTTGATCTTTTCTGACAACAGTGTTCATGTGGAGGTAGGCCCTGGTTCAAACCCCGTCTCTGTCATCAGTGCTGTAACGGCTCTCTCCTCTGCCAGGTCGATGCTCCACGGAGGTCTGAGCTGATCTTATTGATTCTCTGGCCACAAAGTCACAGCCAAAAGTAACTTACTTGTTTCGATGTCGGGGGAAGGCTAGCCGTGCCGGACGTCTTGGCGCGTTAGCGTCCTCGGTGTGAAATCTCTCCATTATAAAAATGTGCAGCAGAGTTCAAACGCTGTGGAGTTTGTTTTTTTTCCGGCAGTGCTGCCAGTTCCAGATTGCTGATATCGCTTTAGGTGTGTGTGTGTGTGTGTGTGTGTGTGTGTGGCTGTTTGAAAATCCTCACCAAAACCTGAGGTCATTTGAGGGTCAAGCTCAGCGCTCTGTATTTTTTTTTGCCAGATTGAACCTTTTTGTCCAACAAGGTTCAGACTTTATAATAATGCACTGGAGTTCAGTTCAAGTTGGTGTCTCTGTTTTATATTCTACTACACTTTTATATATTTACTCGTGTGTGTGTTGTTTATATTGAAATGCTCTGAGTTTTGTTGAACTTGTTTTTGTCTGTTTTTGTTGTTGTTGTGTTTTTACCTAAAGAAACAGACGCTGACAGACGTGCTCTGAGTGGTTACAGGCCAGAACAAGTTACAAACTTCACTTTCTTTATCATTTTGCGTCAGTCTAAAGTTTATCTGGACTTTGAAACCAAAGTAGCTCCGTTCTGTTTTTCTGAATGCTGTTTTTGGGGAAAAATAGATGAATGGGCAGGTGTTCATTTAATGAAGGCCAGTGCTTTCACTTTTCTCTGTAGTGTAGTATCTAGTTAGCTTCAGGCAGTATTGATTTTTTTTTCTTTCTTTTTTTGAAACGTTATTTAAAGTACACGTCCACAGAAGGTGAGCGAGAGTTAACACATGAAAGACCTGGATGATAATACTAAAGGAAGTCAAAGGAAATATGGATCTGGGTCAAAGACACAGCACACTCACATAAACCATGTCATTATATTAACAACAACTGAGAACAGTCAACTTCCAGAACAGTCATGAGAAAATGGTGGTAGTGGTTTTCCACAGATGGTCTCCAGGAAAGGAAATCAATAAAGAAGCTAAGTTTATAGAAAGTCTTTGGTGTTTGGCTGCTGAATCAGAGATTTGTCTAATATTTTAGGAATCATAATAATATGTCATTCTGTCAGAGGTTAGACTTCTCTTCAGTTTGTAGATCATGAAATGTGATTTTGTCCTGAAGAATTCCACTTTAAGAAGGAAGACCCAGAGAAACAGGCGTCATTCTGTTTGTTTGTTTGTTTGTTTGTTTTTATTCCCTCTTCTTCAAACCCGTGACATCAGAGCCCAGAATAGTCTGTGAATGGACTAGTTTGTTGACTTCCTGCACGATAACTCCTCCTGACGTCAGCAGGATTATATCAGTTACATCACTCTGCCTTTGAAGCCGTTACATCTTGTTCATCTGATGTGAGCGTTTCCTGAAACACAGAGAGTCCGACTTTTACATAAAGTCCCTCAGAGCTGAGTGATGATGCACTAACACCTACTGTAGGACTGACACCAGGCTGTCAACAGTCAACCACGTCCTGCTGTACCACCATCATAGAGTTTGTCAGTCTTTTCATGATGATGTGATATAGATATAGATGAAATGGTTTTAAAATCCAGTGATAATCCAGTAAAAAAGAAGCCTTGAACGCCCGACCTGAGGTCGACCAGGTCAGACGTTGGTACTGGTTCGTCCAAGTGTCGGTTTCCTCAGAGCAGCATTAGAGGCTAACTGACAACAGCCATAGGATGAGGCCGAGCGGCTCCCCAACAGCAGCCAGCTGTCTCTGTTGCTGTGGTAACCCCCCTATAAGAAGGGGAGGGGGGTGTGGTGGGGGGGGCAGAGAGAGAGAGATCTGGTTTCTGTGGTAACTGCTGACTTCTGCTATTTTTGTCTCTACAGCTCGTGTAAAGTAAGCAACCAAAAAATGTTGCTCTTATTGGTCAAAAAAACAAAAAGCTCATATTTTTTTTACTCATAGTTCAAGAACCGAGGCCTCACATTCACCAGCACCAGTGGAGGCAACGGAGCTGCTGCCGTGTGTCCCATTATTACCTTCTCAGATCATTGAAAAGAAAATTGTTGATTTTTTTTTTTTTGGTTGGTTGAGTCTCTGTGATGTGAGTATGAAGGTTTTACATACGTGGTTATTTATAGTATAGAACTGGAGCAACTGATAGATGATGTCATGTTCAAATACACTATGATATGATTGAATATGTGAGGTTTGAAATGAAGCCTGTGATTATCTGTGACCCCGGCTGAGCTACTGTTTAATCATTTGACTGTTAATTAAACCTGGGAGTTGGTGGATCCTTTATTTTAATAGAACCAGAGCAAATGTTTACAAGTTTGATGCTTAATGTTATATAACATGTTACAGAACCTGCGGTGATAAATAATTGACCCGTACGTGTGTCCAATTCATGAATTCTTAAATGGTTTGCATTAACAGCACATGTGGTTGGACGACATTCATCGATCACAGATTATAGTCCAGTAAAGACAGGAGCTCTTTTTTCATTCGTGGTGAAGAGATCAGATTAGTTCAAGGAAAGAAAGGACTTGTGTATTATGTCCTTTAGAATTGACTTTTTTTTTGTGTGGTCTTTACACTGTTTCATCAAAAGTAGAGACCTTTTTGAATTCCATCAAAAGCAGTAGTTAAGTAGAAACTTTAAAACATAGAAGCAGCTTGAATTTTCCTGCTCAACCTAAAGGTCTGGTTGCTGCTCAGATTGTCAGGATTTACAGATAGAAGAAAGAAGCAGATGTTGTGGGTGTATTACATGATAAAAGAAAAAATCACATTTTTCATTATAATTGTCCTTTTGAATTATGAATAGACCTATTTGATATACATATATATATATATACATACATATATATATGTATGTATATATATATATGTAACAATCACCAACCTTTCAAATATCTAAGGCTTTATTTAGCAGTTTTTCATCTTGGTGGATTCTGAGTTTCAGTCGTCGAGGTGTTTGAATCAGTCACAGTTTCCCACTGCCACAGGAGCAGAGACGTAATGAGACGGCTTTAATACAGGTGCTTAAAATTTTGGAAAGTGTCGTTGTGTTTTTAAGGTGTGAAAAGTGAGCGTATACTGTACGATAAATGCTGGGAAAACACCCGAAACTGCGACGATGCACATCCTCCGCCTCCAAACCATTTTTTAAAAATAAGTCTTGACTGTCATTGAAAATATTTCATCAATCAGCTCTTACTGTGTGAACTGGCGTCGACTCGTTGTTTTAACGCACCATCAGATTTCTCCAGATGATCCACGTCATCTGTTGTCATCGTGGCGTCATTCTGCTCCCTGTGGAACGTGGGAGTTTTGTGAAACTACTTAGCAAACAGCAGCAGCTCCCAGGCCGTTTTGCTGCCATCCATAATTTGAGCGACACACAGCTGGTGCCAAGAGCAACAGAGCTGAGACTCTTGAGTTTAATGATCACAGTCTTGGCCGCGGCCAAAGGCGATGATATCATTCCACTGCATCTGGTTCCATTCGCTCGTCTCTCTCACCTCGTTTGTTACGGACCTTGGATGGATTTCTTTTATGTTATACATTTAAATATCACTTTGTTGTGTTCATGTGCAGCACGACTACGAAGACCAGAGTCGGAGGACGAAGGAAAACGGTTTTCTCAATCGAGTGTGAGTTGAGTTTTTTAGGATTTGAACCACGATCGAGTGTGAGTTGAGTTTTTTAGGATTTCAACCACGATTGAAAGATAAATCAGTTGCTAAGAACTTGCGAAACTCCGCTCACATCACTGCAGTTAGTTAAAACGCAGCCCTAAGCCTTTACAGAGCCTGCCCTCAGTGCATCACTGACGGCAGTAAACAGTCATTGGTTTGAGCTGTGTGTGTTAGTCATGAACACGTGGTTCAGAGAAGCTGCTGTTCTCACAACGACCCTGAAATATTAGAGTGCAGGAACCTTAGTGAGAGGTTAATGGAACCGACAACTGTACCTTCAGCTGAAGTCGTCTGGCACCGATGAGATAATGTTTAACTTGTGTAGCACGATTGTTGAGTCTTTGACGCTGTGCTCACGGTCGTGCTGTAAAAACAAGCCCATATTTACACATACTCAGCCGTCGCTTCTTACAGTTTGTTGTTCAACATCGGTGCGTGCTGATTGGCTACCGCCTGATCATTGTTCTTGGTGAAACTTGGAGGAGGAGCGGCCTTTAATGAAATCACCTTAGGAGAATCTTGTAGAGGAGAACTCTTCATCCGTCATCATCGTCTTCAAACGCAGGCCAG